CAATGGTTGAAATTGTTTCAGTTCTAGACCACTGTCCTAACATTCCATTTCGAAAAGCACCTTTTTGTCAGGGAAATGAAATGTATCTGACAAACTACTTCTCTTATACGATTTTGGAATCCTCTAGCCTAACCAGAATTTGGCAGACTCTTGAAGTTAGAATGCGGGAGCTCATTTGTGGATTCTAAAGACAAAGTTAATCTTCTTCAAACGTGCTCCTGTAATATGCATGATGGCCCTTTGTTCCCACACACGTTTTACTATGGATTTCATATCCTAATCATGTGTATTTTATATATTTTGTAAATTCTAACGGCACATTTTACATGTTAATAAATTGTCTGCTTTAATGCTGTTTAAATTTATTAAAACTAAGAGAAATAATAGCCTATTTTTCTCGTATTTATGTATGCATACAGTTTTATGGATGGATACTTTATATAATGGTCATTAAGGAGTTTAGATCTTACCAGAATGATGGTCCAGTTGTTCGTGCCTTCTACTCTATTAACTATAAACCCTCCATTTTTTATTTTATTAGATCTAGAATTGTCTCTTAAAGCAACACTCCAAGCACCATAGACACTATCCCTCTGTAATAGTTATGGTACTAGGAGTGCCCTGATTCGTATGTGTGTGTGTGTGTAGGATAAGCTGTCAGACAGTTTGACAATTTACCTGAGTTCCCTGGGTGCCAGTTTTGCATTCGGGTTCTCCCGTAGGAACAGTTGGATGTATACCCTGAGTTGTGCCTGTCCAATACAGCATTATGCTCAGTTGATGCTCTTAGCCAGTAAGAGCAGTCACAAAACACCCTGCTTAACTAACTGGGTTCTCAATGCAAGATAATCTGGAATCGGCCAGTGCATGGGGATCCGGGTTAGTTGTAAAAATTACTCTGGGAGGTTATCAAGGCACTCCTGTCACCATTACTGTTACAGTGGCCGTTTCTGGTGCTTGGAGTGTTCCGTTAAACTATGGCATACGGTCAATGGAAACCTCCATATTACACCACGTTTTTGTATGAATATTGGCTTCAGTAGTTGTTGATGTAAGAAGTGATTTGAGGATAAATTATCATGCGCTAAGCTTGGTTGTCGGTGCTTAGAATGTGCTTTTGCGGAAACCTATTTGACTGCCAGGCAAGGTGGGGTTTCAGATTCTGAAAAATATTGGTTTTGCTTGTGTCAATATTTATTTCATTTTAGAATGGCATGTAGCTCTATAGTAGTAACTTGCAAGAATATAAATTTGACAGTCCTTGATCTAAAAATATAACCGTACAGGAATATATTAAAGCCTACTCAAACATAATTAAAAAAAAAAAAAATGAAAAGAAATTGTGGTCTGTACAAAACACACCGATTAATGTTAATTTCCATAAAAATTTCATGCGGTGTGGTCTTTTTCATTAAATTTCTATGCACCACTCCTGTAATTCTAATTCCATTGAAAGTCCTCATGTAAACCCCCAAGTGCCTATTTGTGTGGAATTTCCGTTCTTTTTCATTTTTCTTGAAACCTGTCTAGTTGGCTGTTTGGTCATTGTTCTCTTGTTTTAGCCTTCTTAGCTTCCTCCATCTTCTTCAAAATGGATTTTCCAAGTCTGGGTTTTCAGCTGTTAAACTAAAACTCCCCAAATTCTGACTGGCAAACATTTGTGGAAGATGCTCTTGAAACACTGAACGGTCAGGGATGGACTTGGCTGGAAACCTTAGATGACAGAAACTCTGCTTAAATCTGTGTTTCTTTACCCCTGGGGTGGAACCCAAAACTAGGTCGCCTTCAGTTGTAGAGGATCCTTGTTGGTTTGACAATGCAATTTGCTCCGTAAATTCCTCTCTGTAGCGATACAGCTCAATAATCTAAAAAAAGTGTTTGGTTTGTTGTCCATTACAGTTGGGTTACTGAGCTAACTTTGCCATTGGGGAACAAGTTACGGTGTTTTTTATGTTTGTTTTTTGCCATCTACATAATTTCATTCTTTGTCTAAATTGCCCAATGAATGCCATGTTTACATGTTGGTTTCTGTTTTAAATAGTATAACCCTGTAAGTGTGTCTGCTAACAGACGTTTCATCTATCAAGGGATAATATCTGGCAATCCTAAATTATAAGACTGGTTTGACGTCATTGATGTTAATAGGTGTCGGAGATAATTAGAGGTTTAAAAGGAAGCCAGATACCAGGAGCAAATTGCTACTTTTTGATGTTATCCTGCATTTTGTAGCCCAGAACAAACACATGAATTTACACACACGGCCATGTTGTAGTTGTTGTGCAAACCCATGGTGTACGTTAGTACACAAACAAGATTTTTTAATTGATATATAGGCAATAAAGACGTAGAAAAGTTATTCTAAACATAACCTCGTGCGAACCTACTTCTAGCTACTGTGTGACAAAAAATAAATTTACGTAGAAATTTGAGCAAACTAAAATGTCCCTAATGCTGTTAGCTAGAAGGCCTTGGCTGTGTAGTTTTCTGGAGAGAATACATTGTATTTACCACAATAGCAATGACCCATGTGTTCTTGTTGTCATGCAGTGAATGGTAGGTGTGCCACTCTTGTTCTAGAAGACATTTGTAAATGAGACTCTGTAACTGGTCAGAAAGTGAGCCCATCGTCAAACTCCAGCACATTCTATAGAAATCCTACACGGAGGCAGGAGATTTAGATTTCCTGTCAATTGTGGAAGAATGTGCTGCCTTTAGGCTTTTCCCACATGCAGTGGGTCATAAATAACCAATGGCTTTTGGCTTTTTTTTTTTTTCTGTTTATTGAATTATTAAGGTTTTTACAGATTTGTGGAAATATTGATCAACTTTTTTATTCTTTGATGTTAACAAAAAAAACTAATTCTTTAATAACACATTTTGTGCGTTTCTAATCTCATCACCTGCATATTTAATATATTTCTAATGCTGCACTAATTTTTCCTAACTTTTGTTTTTTCTTTTTATCTCATTTACAAAGAAATTTTGATGTATTCGTAAATTAGGAGTATATAGAACTGTGCGTATTTTTAGAAGGCTGGTGATCGCGTTACCATATGTTTGCATATTTTTCCTTTTCCCTTTAGGTCCCATTGGCGGTTGATCGATTTATACTTGGGTTTTGTTTTTGTGTTATTTAATTTTTTATTTTATTTTTTTCTTCGAAGACCATTCTTGTTTTGCTTAATTACTTTTTCCAGCATTACTGGTTTCTTAAATGATCAGGGTTTTCAGAAAACAGTCATCGTTGCGTGCCAGTTACTACCTACAACTAATATGTTGTCTGTGATCTGGTTTGGTTTTTGTTCTGCCTGGCACGGAAGCTTGTTTAGACATCTGTGCTACATTACAGAAAATGATGGAAGTAACCACTAAAGGACAATTTAAAACCAAAACGTCACTAGCCTAGACCTAAATTGCGTTAATGATACCTTTTGTCAGCTAATTTGTTAAAATGCCCCAATCTAGATTTTGAAAGAAATCCTATTTGACTAATAATTAGACAAAGTTTGGCAAAGAGCATGGCCCACAATAAGGAATGTCTAAGTAGGACACAGCTGGATACCTCAAAATACCATCGAGGTGTCTGGTTCATCTCCTTGGGTCTTAACAATGTAACCTTATACAAAAGAAGAGCCACTACTATAGAGTTCATTCATTAAAAGGGATGTGTTTACTTTTTAATTTTGTAAACGTTTGTCTCCTTTTGCCCTCCCCCAGCCCCTTGACTTGTTAGCAGATCATTGTGTGCGTGATACCAACAGGCCTCTTTGTAGTGGACGTAATGTGTATTTTAGCATAAGGTTAAATGGTCAGCTCCTGCAAATCTTCATGCCCAGGGGACAGTCTGTCTCCTAATCCCAAGAAGGTGATTTGCATTTAGACACAATACTCTGGTACAAAGAAAATGTTATTTTAGATAGCAAGTCCCATATTAATCCTGTTTCTCTCCATGAAATTTAATCTATTTTCGCTCTGACATTTATTTTAATGTATGACTTCAGTTGAAATATATATATGTAGGTTTATACATAAACATGGATTTATGATGAATTTAAAAGTAGGCTTAAACAAAATCTGATATCCACATGAGAGACCGGAGAAAATTAGGGTTTTTATTGTATGGTTAATCCATTAATGTCTGCGAAGCAATTTTAAAAATCAGATTTTTATTTTTTTCTTCAATTTTATCACAACTTCCCCAAGTATAAATGCAGTCCCAGTGCTAGATAAAATTAAGATTTTAATTTTTTCCTTTTCTTTGTGGGTTTAGTATTAAATTCTGCATTGGAGGTGTTCCATTAGAAATGGATTTTAAGAGCTGCCGGTTGGAACTCAATATACCATGTTTGATAAAGTGCTCAATCGACAATGGCATCTGGGGGGTGCTTGGGACCGGTTGCCAAGGAGACCTAATGATCTGATTTGTAAATGCTTCACAATGAGAATTTACTTAACACGTGTTTACTTATTTTCCGAAAGCCTATTCACACCATTACAGTTGTAACACATGTACCACACTAGCAAACTGCTTTAATTACAATACACACCAACACCACATGCAAAACATTTGGTAGGATATATTTTCAGTGTGAAATCACCCCAGAAGAAGAAACAGAATATATATACACACACACTACATCCATACAACTGGTAACTTATACCCATTTTTAAACATCAATGTAATGTATGCTTGATTTTTTTTGTATAGTTTGCCAGACCTAGTATTCAGCATCTCCCCAAAATTTCTGTGCGTTGGTATTGCTTCGCCCCACATGTTTGCAAAGCAGAGATCGCTCACAGAACTTCTTTAGCAAGAGTGTACAATATTGCAACATTGTATTCAATAAATAAGTCCTCGGAGTGTACACTTTTTTTATTTTCATTTTATATCTTCCGCTGTAGCTGTCTCACCTGTGGCTTAAATTATTTATTGGGTCTGTGAAGTGCATGAATCTCTAGTCAGTCCTTTTCTTCCCTAAGCTAGACTAGATGATTAAAGGCCCAAGCCCACATTCCGGAGCTGCTCCTACATTTGTGGCTGCAGTAAAGGACCAGGACAGAAGAACTCCACAATGTCGATTCCGTAGTGTTGTTCTTATTTCTCACTTGTTTCCCTACGTAAACCCAATAGGTCTAGCCAGAAAGATGGTCCAGTAGAATATCTTCTGCTATGAACCAGGACAACAAAAAGGAAGGAAAGCACACACCTACCACTACGGCATGGGGTGTTTCTGAGTAGCTCTCGAGGTTTTGGGTTAATTCTGCTCCCAAAAACCCAGGTTCTACATCTTTCTAACCCTGAATTGATTTTTTTTTTTTCAGTCTGAAGCCAAGCCCTAAATTGTTATGGATTGTGATAGAGTAAAACAGGCTGTGGCCTTTCATAAAGCTCAGACTGTTTCATATGTACAAGAATAGCAATGCCCCAAAAAATAAGCAGAATTATAGAATCCTTTCTTTAGGTAAAATGAGTAAATAAAATGTCTTCCTCTATCATTCTAAACTAGCAAGCTATAGAAACTTTGAAAAGCAAATGTGGAGTTGTAACACCAGGACTGCAGTAAAAGTCATTAATAACTGGGATTGGGCTTGATCAGAGCTATTTTTCCACGTTAGAACAGACTTGTACATTGTATCTTTTTTCCACATTCACGTTTTTACTTTTGTTCTTCTTGCAGTTTTTGGTTTGAGACATGTAAGCCAACCCTATTTTCAAAAAAGTGTCCAGCTTTAATGATTTCAAGCCTTTCTTCATCCTACATTTCCAAATTGCTGAAATGACAATCTAAGTCTCCCAAGTTCAGATCCTTCTGGTAGGAGTGCCTTTGAGGCTGTAGTTCCGATGATTGATGTATTGATGATGTAGGCATTGGACTCAATAGATGAACAGGATTTATTAAAATTATGTAGCTTGTCACCTTGTTCTAGATCTTTCAGGAGAGTTTCTCTATATAGATAAAATAAGAAAGCACGGGTTTTCTCAAGGGTTTTTCTGTTGATCCATATAAACCATTCTCGAGGGCATGTATCTTCTAACTTTGCTGATGGTAATCTTCATCAGGCTCACTCAGTGAGCAAATTAGGGAAATTCTCCAGGAGAATGTCTTTCCTACAATTTAAAATTCATTCGTCAGGAGCTAAAATATCAAGTCCTAATATATTAGCCAGGCCTTAAAAATATTTGTCACTTCACTTTGTATGAATGCCACACACAGCAGCCTCTGATTTCCAGACCTACTGCAGTGTGGTAAACATGCCAGGGTCCGTGCCCGGTTGGTAAATCAGTTTAAAATGACAACTCATTATTACTCTTGAACACAGCTTTACTCTCCTTTAATAGATGTTACTTAATTTAAGGCTTTTCTTTAAGGGATGTTACTTTGCATATTTTATAAGGGGCGTACACCCCATCATTCTCCACACTCCAATACAAGCGTGTGTTCAGAATCCCTTCTAAGAGTTCTAGGATTGTAAATAGTCAGTCAGCAATTTGCCCAGCAGAAATTATTCATAAAGGCTCTCCCTTCATGGTTTTTTGAATGTGGTTTTTCATACTTAACACTATTCTGTCGTTTGAATGTGACGTACTACAGAGGCAGAGATCCGGTTTCCTGCCATTCTGTGCACAGAATGTTGGTCCTGTTCTTATCCCTAATTGCAACATATAGTAAGCAGTTGGCCTTCAGTGTGTGCTTGGATACATTTTGTGGTTAATTTACGTTTTTTTTCCACAATTTTCTGAAATGAAATAGGTTTTCACAGGGTCATCATAAACTACTTTTTCTCATGGATCCTTACTGGGTCCTTACTGGTCAACTCACCAACAGTATGGCTTGTTGTCAGCTTAACATTTTTCTGACTCCTGAATGCAAATACAAATCTTTATATAGCCATTATCTCCAATTAGGACATAGAATCTAGTCATAGGCTCTCAATGCTTGGTAGCTCGGCCAACTTCTTAACACATAGTCTGTCATGGCATCATGAAACCACTCCAGAGCATTTAACCCCTTAAGGACACATGACATGTGTGGCATGTCATGATTCCCTTTTATTCCAGGAGTTTGGTCCTTAAGGGGTTAAAGCACTTTCAGGTCATTCACAATGTCTCTTTGAGCCTTGCTAAGTCTAAGTAGATAAAAGCAAAATGCGTTGGTTTATAGCATCAAAACTCACCCTAACCATTGCAAACCTACACACATTTGTTCTTCTAAGATTGTTTTAAAATTGTCACATGTTTATATGCAATTAGCATTTTTAAAATTCATGGTGTAAAAAATAAATTTATCTGCATTATAAGAAAAGCTACAGTATTTGGAGGCCTATTAACTATCCCTTTTTACATTTTATTTCTGCATAATCCAGCACTGTTATATATATTGCTTTGAGACCATGAACAGTTCCATTATTAAATGGAAATATTTTTGTCATATGTCTGCTGTCAAACGTGCTATAGATAATTATATTTTTCATTTGATTCTCGCCCCCAGGAGTCAATATCACAAAGTACAAAAAATTCAATCTACGTTAACAAGCACACAATCTGCATCAGCCGTGAGCTATTATGATGCAAAATCTGTTTCTCGGCTCTTAATGTAAGAAGGTCACGTAGGCCGGCATCAGATAAAACACATCTCAGAGGGTTTCTGTGTTTTCTGTCCCTGTTTTCTATCTAGTCGTTTCATCTCTAAACACTTTTGAAACGATACTAATATTTAGATATAAATATCAACTCCACATAGAAACGGAGTTGCGTGCCTCATTTGTTTAATGAATATTAAAAGCTGAATCGTATTGTAACTCAAGGGCACCCTTGGCTCGTATCAAGGACTTGCAGCATAAAGATACATTTGTATTCTCTATCAATGGAAAACAAGCTACTGTGAGTCTGCCTATCAAAGGAAGTTATCTCAAATATAAACAGTTTAATTAGCTCTAGTTCACAATAATAGCAAATGCAAATAAAGGATCAATTACGCAGTAAAAAAACAAGGTTGTAAGAGTGTAAGGAAAAATAATAGCGCAAAATTAAAATACAATAAATTACTACTTGTAAAAAAAAAGATCAAACCGCTATAAGAAATTCCTCAGACTTTTCTCAACGTTGGACCTCAGGAACGATTCCTTATCGATAAATCAACCAACCAATAAATCAATGTCCTTTTGAACACGGGTGTTGATAGTGCTTGAACCCCAGGATTAAACACCTTTGATCTAAACCAATGATTCCCCAAACTGTCGTCAACTACCATCAACAGCTCAAGATGAAGGGATTTAATTTGGTTCAAAATGCAGATATTGGTAAATCCTGCTCCCTTGTCAGGCATGGAGTACTTGCTAGAGAATAATTGATCTTAACATCTTGACACTGTTCAAAACATAGGGATTATTTCATAAGCAGTGGATCGCAGTGGAGACTGAATCGTAACATTTAGGCCATAACAGATGATTTGCAAAAGTCCCCCAACTCCACTATAGCCACGGTTTGCCTGTTGTAGCCTCAATTTTGTAATCTGGTTTTTAACTCCACACAGCTCACTATCTAGCTGCAAGTTTGCTATCCTAGGAGACCATGTAAAGAATGTATTCAAATATTGTTTTAATGTTGTATGTAAACTAGAAGATGGTTTATATCACAGATATTCTTTTGTTCTGATCAGCTGCATTACAGCCACAAGGACCGGTTTAATTATATCTAAGGGTAGCATCACTCACATTATCTGAGACTGACCCAGACTATGAGACAATAAACTGATCAGCCATAACATTAAAACCACTGACAGGTGAAGTAGCATTGATTATATTGTTACAATGGCACCTGTCAAGGGGTGGGAAGTATCTTCACGCCTTGTGAAGTCTCTGGGAGTTGACCAAAGGGTTAACCGCTGGATACCCAATAACCAAAGACAACAGGGTGGACACAGCGGGTGCAATGAGATCAGATTCCATTACCCACTGTCTGATGCCAAAGGAGAGCAGGGGGAAGAGTTGTACTGTCCAATTCATAGATCTCTTCTTCCCAGAACATAGTACTGTGTGCGCTAGGGAGTCGGATCCCCTCTACCCTCTGTGAGCAACGTAAGGAAAGGAAGTTAATGTCAAATTATCATTTGTATGTGTGTGTGTATCTATGGATGTTTGTGTTCGTGTAGTGTGCATCCATGATGTATGTGTGCATCCATATATGTGGGTTTGAATGGGTCTGTGCTAGGATGTGTCTGTGTGTGTCAGTGTGCAAGGATGTGTCTGTGTTTGCTATGTCTGTATGTGTTTTAGTGTGTGATTGTGTTGCTAATTAGGTTAGTGCCTATGACATGTTATGTATGGATAATTATACTACTGTCTAATTAAATATTTGTGAGTGCCTCCCATGTATGTGTCGCTTATTATGTACGTGCTCTGGTGTCTTATCACATTGCAGTATAAGCAATTTATCATGTTAAATTACAGTTTGCATCAATGATAAGATTAAATAAACCACATATCCATTAGAACCCACTTTTACCAAACCATCTTAATTGAATCTATAGGGAAGCAACCAGGATGAATCCTAATTAATTCCAATATTAACAAATGAAACTTTCTTAGCACCCCCAGGAAAGCGGTCTTATCCCTCCTAGATTCAACACCCAGAGTTATTGTCAGATCAAACTTGTTATAATTGGAATCTCCTGCTGTGCTAGAAATACGCCTGACCAAATCATACTGAAGGTGTCTAATTATTTAGTGTACACAACCTCTTAGGGGAAATTAATTCATGTACGCCCTTTTTTTTTTTCTTTTTTTTTTTTACTGAGGAATCTGAAAAAAGAAAAAAAAACTCAGATGTGTTTTTTGAAATACTGTAATACTCTCGTGAGAAAATTATTTGGAATTCAACCGCAGGTGAAAAAACTAATTGGATACTGTCACTTTAAGAAAATACATTTTATTTAAATAATGAACTTTCACCTTGGCAGTCTTCTGCAGCAATAATATTTTTAAATAATAATGCATAAAGAATAGGAATCTTGGTTAAGTATAACTTCACAAGAAAAATAGTAATTGGTTGCAAATGAATATAAGGAAAGCTTAATTAGCAACAAGCAGTAAAGTCCATTAATTACATTAAAAATGTACAAAGTAACAGTCTTTTAACTTGAAGAAATAAACTTGATAACTAAATATGTCCTGGTATGCAAAGTGGTTGTAGTCATTTGAC